ATGCTCCATTGCCAGACTCTTGCTGGGAGCCTGTCTAGAATGTCCTCCCAATAAAACTCCATCCTATGACGCAACTGGAGTGAGTCTCTTTCTTGCAACCCAAATAGCTGGGCTAGAACACAGAGGAGTCTCAAGTTAGTGGGGTTTATTCTTAGATACCATCTGTAGGAGGGGGCCAGGGGCTGCAAGTTACATGACATTTATCACAAATTACCTTATGCTGAAGTGATTTATGTCCCTTTCTGTTCCTTGAGGCTCCATGTGTTGCTCACATTTGCCACCCACGATGACCAGCCCCGTGCGTGGCACGCAGCAGGTGGGCATGTGAACTAAGCATTTGTCTTGTCTACATTGCTGACAATGGGGAGGGTGGAGAACATGGACTAAATCCAGAGGTGGGACAGGGAGAAAGCAAGTCAAATGCAGCCAGATGTTTGGGGGCTATCTGGGGAAGAGAGGGTGAGGGGAGGATCATAAGCAGCCGCTGAAGCTGCGGCTACTGGGGGATTTGGGAATATCCGGCTTGGGAGTCTTCATCTGCTTCCGTGTACTTCCAAGGGGACATATGTCCATCTTGGATCGCAGGGTTCTCAGAGGGATTTGTTGTGTTCGCCTCCAGTGGTCTGAGGCCTCCTGAGACTTTTTGTACATTTAATTGAAGTGTAACATACAGAAAAGTTTACACATTATAAATGCAACTCAAGGACTTTTCCAAAAGCAAACACACCCAGATCAAGAAACAGACCATCCCACAGTCCACCCTTACACCCTGTACCAGTTGCAGCCCCCACAAGGGTAACTACTATCTTGACTTCAAACACCATAGATTTGATTTGCCTGTTTTTGAACTCTATATAAGTAGAATCACAGAGTGTGTATAATGACTTTGGAAAACTGTTTGACAATATCTATTAAAGCTAAAATACCCTTGCCCTACGAACCTGAAATTCCACCCACCTTGCCAAGGGACAAAAAGTTCCCCTCTAAATGCACCAGGCTGTCAGGGATGAAGCCTTGGCTTTGGGGCCCCCATTCATACACAAGATTTTTTCTTGGGCACCCAAGCATCAGTCTGTCATCTCGAGGTGCCACCCTGGCCATCTCTGAGGGCTGGAGTCAGAGTGCCTCCCTCAGACATCCTGTTCTGCATCACCCCTTGGAAGGAGTCATGTTTACAGATGGTGGGTGTCACCCATGCCAAGTACTTCGAAGGGTTAACGCTCACTGGTTTGCCTGTTTCCCCGGACACTTCCCGATGCTCCTCTGGAGGGTGAGGCCAACAAGCTAGTGGAGAAGTCATCTTTCCCAGGTGCTGCTGGGCGCGCCCGGAGCTGCTCAGTGCATCCTAGGATCCCTCTTCCTCAGCTCTGGTTTGATGGCCTCATCTCCTCCCCTGCAACCTCAAAATGCAAATAAATCCTTGCTCAGAGACTTCGGCAGAAAATTCCTCTGACCCGCACTTGGACACAGCTCATCCGGGTTTGGGAGGTGTCAACTGTGTAAGGAAGACTCTGATCCGCATGTGGCTCTTCGACTGTGTCCCCTCCACAGTCAGTTATTAGCACTGACTGTGCTAGGAAGTGAGTAACACACATATTCCCAGACCACATGGAGCTCAGGAGCTTGGGGAGACAGACAGGGAAGTAGACGACTACAGTGCCTTGTGAAACGTGTTGCAGGGAGAAGTGTCATTCAGGGGATGCTAACCTGGCTTTGGGTAAGGGACAGCCTCTGAATGACAGAACATTAAAGCCATGGCCTGCAGTTTAAGTAGGAGTTGGCCAGTTCGAGGTAAGAATACCAGTAAGCAAGGACACCGGAGTAGCTCCTAGAGCTGCCTTCTCTACCTGACATCCACACTGAAGCCAGCCCCTCTGTGTTCAACCTTGCTTTACTGAAGAGGTGTCGCTGAGGGGCTGCTCTGGGGGGCTGCTCTGCTTTCCTGCCCCAACTTGTTCTGAGCTCGAGTCACCTCCATATTGGTGGTCCTGGTTCTCAGGCCTTTGGACTCAAACTGAATCACACCACTGGCTTTCCTGGTTCTCCAGCTTGCAGATGGCAGATCCTGGAACTTTTTGGCCTCCATAATCACGTGAGCCAATTGCTATAATAAATATTTCTCTTTCCCTCTTTCTTCCTCTCTCTCTCCGTGTAAATATAGCTCCAATTATAAGAGCCCCAAACTGGAAAATAACCCTATGTTGCACTGGTGAGTAGAGAAACTGTGGTTCCCTCCAACCATGGAACACTATTCAGCAATATGAAGGAACAAACTATTGATATGCAAAATAGTGTAAATGAATCTCATAAACATCGGAAAGAGGGAAGGAAGCCAGGCACAGAAGAGTATATGCCACATGATTCCATTTATATGAGATTCTAGAACAGGCAAAACTTATCTATAGACAGAGAACAACAGACCAGTGGTTGTCTGGGGTTGGGAGTGGGGAAGTTTGGTTGCAAGGGCACAGGGCTCTTTCTGCCGGTGAGGGAATATGTCTGCATTACAGTGATGCTTGTGCAGGTATATACATTTATCAAAATTCATCTTACTGGCCACTTAAAATAAGTGCATTTTATTGTGTGTAAATTATACCTTAATGAAGTTGATTTGAAAATCCAAAGTAGTAATAATAAGTAATAATCTCATAGCTGGGCAGGTGAGGTGACTCACTCCTGTAATTCCAATGATTTGAGAAGCTGAGGCAGGAGGATCACTTAAGCTCAGGAGTTCTTTTTTATTTTTATTTTTTGAGACGGAGTTTCACTCATGTTGCCCAGGCTGGGGTGCAATGGCACTATCTCCGCTCACTGCAACCTCCACCTTCTGAGTTCAAGCCTCCCGAGTAGCTGGAACTACAGGCGCTCACCACCATGCCTAACTAATTTTTGTATTTTTAGTAGTGATGGAGTTTCACCATGTTGGCCAGGCTCGTCTTGAACTCCTGAGCTCAAGTGATCCGCCCGCCTCGGCCTCCCAAAGTGCTGGGATTACAGGCAAGAGTCACTGTGCCCGGCCAAGACCCGGAGTTTGAGATCAGCCTGGGAAACAAAGTGAGACCCCCTCTCTACAGAAAAACTAAAAATTTTAGCTGGGCCTGGTGCTGTGTGCCTGTAGTTCCAGCTACTCAGGAGGCTGAGGTGGGAGGATTCCTTGAGCCCAGGATTTAAGGCTGTAGTGAGGCATGATCAGGCCACTGCCCTTTAGCGTGAGTGACAGAGTGAGACCCTGTCTCTAAATAATACTCATAAGAACAACAAGAGCCCTCTAAATGCACTGATATCTAAGATGTATTAAGTGACCAAAAAAAAAAAAAAAAATTCAATGTGCAGAAAAATGTTAATAAGAGAAAAAATATGTCTGTATTGTCTTTAGTATACATAAAAATAATCTAAAAGCCTATGAAAGAAACTAATCATATTGGTTTCCTGCTGGGGAGGAGGGCTGAGAACACGAAGACTTTCCCTATGCTTTCTGTATCTTTTGATTTTGAGACATATGAACGTAGGTTTCTCTCACTGCTCGAACTAATCAAATCGCTACATTCCAAATTCTCAAAAACAAATAGATTTGCTTAAAAGTAGGCCGCATGCCGTGTCTCATGCCTGTAATCCCAGCACTTTGGGAGGCCAAAGCAGGCAGATCACCTGAGATCAGGAGTTTGAGACCAGCTTGACCAATGTGGAGAAACCCCGTCTCTACTAAAAATACAAAATTAGCGGGGCGTGGTGGCACATGCCTGTAATCCCAGCTACTTGGGAGGCTGAGGCAGAAGAGCCACTTGAACCCGGGAGGTGGAGGTTGCAGTGAGCCGAGATTGTGCCATTGCACTCCAGCCTGGGTAACAAGAGAGAAACTGTCACAGAAAAAAAAAAAAATTGCTTAAAAGTTAACATCTTGGGCGGGCGCAGTGGCTCACGCCTGTAATTCCAGCACTTTGGGAGGCCAGGGCAGGCGGACCACAAGGTCAGGAGATCAAGACCATCCTGGCTAACAGGGTGAATCCCCGTCTCTACTAAAAATACAAAAAAATTAGCTGGGGGTGGTGGTGGCGGGCATCTGTAGTCCCAGCTACTGGGGAGGCTGAGACAGGAGAATGGTGTGAATTCGGGAGGTGGAGCTTTCAGTGAGCAGGAGAATCGCTTGGACCAGGGAGTCAGAGATTGCAGTGAGCCGAGATCGTGCCACTGCACAACAGCCTGGCGGCAGAGGGAGACTCTGTCTCAAAAAAAAAAAAAAAAAAAAAAAGTTAACATTTCATCCAAATTTATGCCTAGTAGGAAAACAAAACTTTAAAACATGAAACAGGTGTTACTGAGGCCAAAAGGGTCTCCAAGGTCTGGGAGTCTGTAGCTTTATACAATTCTGCCATCTGGCCACCGCCAGGGACAAAGGGTTGTCTCTGTCCGCTGCACCGCCTTTGCCCAGCAATGAAGCCCCCAAGACCTCCGTCTCTACTGGCTCCCTCCTCCCCGGGGTCAGCGACTGGTGGCCACTGTGGTTCGGAGACAGCAACTCTGACAACCGCAGCCAGTGGCCTGGACCTTCGTATCCCTAGGGGCACCCAGCGCAGGTGGATGACCCGACTCAACCTCCACCAGATTCTCCTCGGGGCAGGACAGGTAGCGAGGAGGGGACCGAGATTGGCCCCAGGAGACCACGGAAGATCGCGCTTCTAGGGCCGACTTCAGCAGCGACAGGCGGCCTTTGCCCATCGCCCCACCCTACCACGCCGTGGTCCTCAAAGAACCTTCCCGGCGGTTCTCTATTCCTCTCAGGAGTAGAGGCCCTTTGAGACCGACGGGGAGGGACGGCTCAGGCCGGTCATCCGAGGCCGCACGGATTCCCTTCTCCGCCCAGCTCCACCCCTCGAGGGGCGGCGGTCCCGGAGTGGCGTCCTGGCTCCCCCAGGGCGCACGCCGTCGGGGCCCCAGGCCAGGCTCCGAGCGGGGTTGGCGGGGAGGGGAGGCGGGAGCGAGGGCGGGCGGTAGCGGGTGGGGGCGGGAAGGTCCGAAGGCGGCGGCCTGGGGCTGCATGGGACGTGGGTCGGCCGCAATCCAGCCCGGGCGGAGCCGGAGCTGCGAGCCACAGCCTAGAGGCCGAGGAGCTCACAGCTATGGGCTGGAGACCCGGGAGAGCTCAGGGGTCCCCATTCCTGCTGCCGCTACTGCTCCTGCTGCTCTGGCCAGTGCCTGGCGCCGGGGTGCTTCAAGGTGAGGACCCGCGCGGGGTGCGCCCTGAGGGGCAGGCGAGGCGAGGTGGTGGTGGTGGAGGGGATGGGTTCTGCTCAGAGCCCGGTGAGCGCGCAGAGGGTCTCTCAGCCCCGGGACCACACGGCCAGTAGGTCAGGGCGTGGGGACGGTTTGGGGGCGTCTCCGTGGGACCTGCCCAGGGACGCACAAGTGTACTTGGGCTGGCCTGGGCCAGGACTTGCCCACACTGCCCGGCTGCCACTCTGCTGGCAAAGCGGAGAGCATGGCCCCCTTCCCCTCGGGGGCAGCCCAGCCCCCAGCCCGTAGCTCCCTCTGCCTGGATTCTCGCTCTCACAACCTCCCAACCCCCATCCGCCGGCCACCGTGTGACCAGCTCCTGCACCTCCACCCTTTAGGATTCAGCGGGGCTCCATCCTCCAGGAAGCCCCTTTGCCCAAGAGTCCCCCAGAGTCCCTGCTTTGCTCTCAGGGTGCGGAACCAGCTGTGGCCTCCGCCCTGCTCACCCCTCGTCCCTCCTCCCAGGGCGGCAGGGCAGTGTGTATGTTGTTTATATTGTTGCCTTGTTTGGTGAGATAGAGAAGGGCCTTTCCAGACAGAAGGTGCCTGTTTAGTTGTGCTCTGGGAAGACGGCAGCACTGTCTCCTGGGGGTACTCCCTCCCAACAAAGATGTTAAGATGGGACTGGTAACAACCTCTGCAAGCGGGTGGGAGGATTAGCCTGTCCTGCACAGCAAGTGCCTGGCCGAGGAAAGGGGGGCAACCAGGGAGGAGGCATGCAGGGCTGGGCTGGGCTGTGCAGCCTGGGCCATGGCTTCCACAGCACTGTGTGGGGACCAAACAGGTACAGGGGTCTGCTCTGTTCTGGCTCCAGGGGAGGGTTCTAGGTGGTCCACTGCTCCCTCCCCTCTGAGCCCTATCCTGGGGCCAGGGGAAGTGACAGGACCCCTGGGAGAGGGGGGCTCTATGTGCCCAATACCAACCTGGCTCCCTCGGGGTCCACTCCCATCCACCCGGTCACTGGAGCTCCAGCTCTGCCCCTCTCTCCCTCATTGGGGTCAGGGTGCCCATGGCCAGCATGTGCGTGCAAGGCCATGTGGAGAGCACCCATACCCACACTGCACCCACACACCGTGCCTGAGCCCACCCTACCTCCTCCCCAAACCCTTAGAGGCCTAGGAGCAGCAAAGCTTGGTTCTCTACTCTCAGTTAAGTGCTCTCTGGGCTGAGAGACCTCCTTTCCTTCCCCTCCCCCAGATCCACTCAGAGCCCTCCCTGCACTGGCCCCTCTAGCCTCCTTTCCAAGGTGGCAGACTCCTCTTGGTCCCCATTTGCCTGATGGCAACTCACTCATCCAATCAAGGAGGGCTTCTTGGAGGAAGGGTCTTTGATGCTTGGAGTCCGGGAGAGAAGGTGGAGGAGAAAAAAGAAGTTAGGGTGGCCTACCAGGAGCTGAGTCACTTCCACACGCAGCCATCAGCCCAGCAGGACTGAGGCCAGGGCTGCGTGGGGGCGGGGGTTGTCCGTTCTGGGAGCTGGGACTGGGTACCTGGGGAAGGAGGGCTGCTGCAGGCTCTGCGTGCCTGGGGCCTGTCTCCTGCAGGGTGGGCCTGTGGGAGTGGTTGGGGCTGGTGGGGGACTGGGAGCATTCCAGGGGAGCATTCCAGGCGCCCTCTGAGTAATGTTTGGATCTGGGATTCCTCCTAGAGCCCCCTTAGGCACATCCTGCCAGGGAGAACCAAGGCCCGGTCCGGAAGCCTCCCCTCACCTTGAAGAGATGAGGAGGGGCCTTCTGGGCCAGGGTACAAAATCCCTGCCTGAGGATGGAGTCCCCGAGGGAGCTCCGGGCAAGGTGGGCCTCGCAAGGCCACATCTGGCTGTTGTTTTTCTCAGATGATGGGGCTGCACAGGCGTCCTCTCTTCATAGATCTCTCACCCTGAAAGCATCTGCTGCCCATCTAAAAATACCCGAGGCTGCCTCCCTCTTCCCTTCCCCTTTGCACTGGTGGCCTTGGCCTCTTCCTTGTGATCACCGACCCCAAGCCTGCCCCTCCACCAAAGGTCAGGGGACTCCCGCGTCCCCAGCTGAGCTGTCCTTTCCCAGCCTTCTTTTCCTCCTCCTTGGTAGCTCCTCAGATCCAAGGATGCCCATGGGTGTCCCTCCTTCTCTAGGCTGAGCCTACGCATGTTGAAGATGGAGTCTGCCCCGAAAGGCCTCCAGTGCCTCCCTGGGGATGTCCTCTAACCCCCTCCCTCTGCTTTGTCCCATGCCCCTGTGTTCCTCAGGTCCCCCTCATCCTGTGCTCTGTCTTCTCTCTAGGACATATCCCTGGGCAGCCAGTCACCCCCTACTGGGTCCTGGATGGACGACCCTGGCGCGCCGTCAGCCTGGAGGAGCCGGTCAGTGCCATGTCACCTCGTCCTCCACAGGGGCCCTGAAACTCCCATCCCTTTTGTCTCCCCCACGTTACAGCTTCCAGTTTTGCTGGGGTCCCCAGAACCACCAAGTCACTGCTCCTGTAGGCCCCTCCCTGCTGAGTGGGCAGAAGAGGGCACTGGGGATTGGACATCTAGGTCTCGTGAGTCCGTACACGTGGAAGTCATTTCAGCTTTCTCCGCCCCACCTCCCCCTTTCCCTCCCTCCCTGGATGATCCGGGCCACCCCCACCCCCACCAGGCAGAAATGGGTCCAGGGTTTGTGGGGCCTGAAGCTTTTCAGGAGCCTGAAAAACAAAAAAAAGCACTAAAAAGAAAACCTTTTGCAAAGTCGACCAGAACATGTGACCCTGTAGACACATTGCTGTCCCTTTCAGGGCCCCACCACTGAGGGCCTGAACCTTCAGCCTCACTGGCTCCTGTGGAATCCACTTCTGGTGGGGGGGGCAGTGGTCACTCTCCTGGTGCCCCCCCAGATGTGAGACCACCCCATGTGCTTCTGCAGGATGCTGTGCCCCAGCCTCCTCCCAATCCCACCCTTCACAAGCTTCCAGAATAACCATGCCCCATCTGTTTGCGCCGTAATATCTGTGCTACAAACTAAGAGGCCAGTACCCTTGATATGCCCATTTTACAGATGGGCAAAGGGAATCCCAGAGAGGTTGGGGAAATTGTCCATGGTCACACAGCTCTTTAGGCTGGGAGCCTGAGACCCACTAAGGTCTGAACGATTTTAAACCATTGGCTACACCCCTGCCCCCCCTAGTCCCCCCCCTAGAGAGCCCTCTTTGTTTGGAATTTTCAGCCCTACTGTCCAAACCCAGCAAGAGGGAAGGCAGGGGAGCATTACCATGAAGGCTGGGAGGCCCCCAGAGACCCAGCAGCTCCCAACCCAGGGCCCTCACTGGGATCCCCTAGGTCCATAAGGCCCCCATTGCACTGGTCAAGCACAGCACTGGCCTGAGCTTTGAGATTGCCCTCCCCATCCCCGGGAGGGGAAGGCTGGGCACACGCTGGGGTCACTCTGCCTCTGGGCCTCCCTGTCTGTCTGGCCTGGGCTGTGACCAAGAGGGGAGCTCCAAAGGGGCCCTGCTCCCCATAACTGTGGGCCCTTGCCCCCCAGGAAGCCTGCCAAGATGGTACAGAAGACAGAGTAGAGGTTGGGTATCCCCTCCAATAGGCAGGAAACACTCACATTTCAAGAAGGGGGGTATATATCGAGGGGCAGGGTACCAGGAGGGCAAGAGTAAAGACAGCAGGGGCTGCAGAGGAACGGGGACCTCGAGTATGGCCTTCCATCTGGGCCACCGCCTTTCTCCCAATGCAAACCTTTCCCCAATAAAGCAAGTGACATTCCAGTCACATGAGCTCATGCTGGAGGCCTTGTGGGGCCTGTGGCCAGGGAGGCAAGGGCCATCTGCTCCCCACTTGCAAAGGAAGAATTCCCTCCAAAGACTCTGAGACCCTTGGACAGGGCCCCAGCCCAGTGCATTTTTGGAGAAAAGGAGTCGGGGGTTAAACATTTCGAAGGCACAGCAGCCTCCCAGGAAGCTCCTGGGCCGGCTCCAACTCTGGGCCCCCAGCCAGGCTGAGTGGACAAGGGGGAAGTGGGGTGTTCCCACAGGGTGGGAGATGCCAAGAGGGTGGGGGAGGGAGAGAGGGCTGGCTGGCCAAGCCAGCCTCTTGACACCTAGCTGAGAGCCAGTGTGCTCTCTTGGCTGGAATGGCGTCCATGTTTACTTCTTGGGTCCAGTGAAGCAGGTGTCGGAGCAGGAGGGACAGAGACTGCTGGAGGCCCAGGAAAACTTTGGAAGAGGGAGTAGTTTGCCAAAATTGGAAGTGGAGGAGTAAAGTTTGAATTCTACAGGGAATGAGCAGCAGCTCATTTGGAAACAAGCCTCCGGTAGCAGAGGCTGTGAGGAGGCCCTGACCATGGCTACCCGGTGCCCCCACAATGTCCTCAGCACCCCTCTGTCTTCCCCTGCTTTTGATACCCCTTCTGGGCATGAAAGAAGAGGGCGGGCCAGGCGAGGGGCACTTTTCTGGGACCTCTGGTCTCTAGGGAGGATGTCAGCATGCCTGGCAGGAGGCGCCAATGCCCTTCCAAGTGGCTGTTGTCAGGACAGCAAACATTCTGAGCTTGGGAACATCTTTGTATGTTCTCACCTCCTCCACACCCTCCATAGTATGTGGGGGGTCCTGCTGACCCCCCAGCCCACGTTCTCCTCAAGAACTTCCTCCCCAGCCAGCTGCACAGGCCACCTGCTCTCTGACAGGCAGGAGGCCTGGAGGCCACTGTCTCAGCCCCACACTCTTTCTTGCCCAGGTCTTGAAGCCAGACATGGGGCTGGTGGCCCTGGAGGCTGAAGGCCAGGAGCTCCTGCTTGAGCTGGAGAAGAACCAGTGAGTGCCAGGCTGGGGTAGGGCTGGGAGGAGGGGGTCATTGTTGTGGGGCAGGGACTGACACGGATCTGTGCGGGTGGCTGGATGGGCAGAGGACCCCAGAGAGGGTGCAGATGACAGGGAGAGTCACGCAGGCCTGTGGCTGGCCCCCTGGAAGCTGAAGAGGACTGCTGAGGCTGTCAGCCCGGCTGTGGGGCACATCCACCCTCCCAACCCCAGGAGCGGCTTGTCAGCTCCTTGTTGGAGATGAGTGAGCACCATCTAGTGGACAGGTGCAAGATATGCTGAGTCTAAAGAAATCCTAGAGGGATCCCAAACATGAGCCGGCACTCCAGGCTAAGTGAAGGGCAGGGACAAAGAGGCGGTGGCTTTGGGAGGCCAAGGCGGGCGGCGCACCTGAGGTCAGGAGTTTGAGACCAGCCTGGCCAAAATGGTGAAACCCCGTCTCTACTAAAAATACAAAAAATTAACTGGGCGTGGTGGCAGCACCTGTAATCCCAGCTACTTAGGGGACTGAGACAGGAGAATTGCTTGAACCCAGGAGGCAGAGGTTGTGGTGAGCCAAGATCACACCACTGCACACTCTGGCTTAGGCAGAGTGAGCCTCTGTCTCAAAAAAAGAAAAAAAAGAAAAGAAAAGAAAAGAAAAAAGAAGAAGATGCAGTGGCTACACTTGGGGGCAGCAGTTTGTCTGACCTGCCTGGAAGGTCTCTATCTACAGGGACGGGAGCAGGGGGAATGACTCTGGGGAGTCCCAGGAGGGCCAGATCACAGAAAAGGCCATTTTAGTGCTCAGTGTCCTGGACCATCCAGAGCCAAAGATTTTGAGCTGGGGAAGGGACAGGCAGACCTGTACTCAGGAAGGTGCCTTGGGCTGGGTGAGGTGGGTGTCCCAGTTGGAACACAGGCTCTTAAAACCACCCAGACTATATTATCAATATATATTACCTACTGAGTGCTTGTTTGACTGCAGGCACTGTTCTGAGCACTTGACATGTACTTTATTCTCCCTCGTGGAGTTGGATGAACTGGGAACAAACTCTAGTTCCACTATGCCCAACCATATTTTCCCTGGGGCCAACGTCCCTACCATTTCAATGGAGTGGTCACATCACCTACCTCCTAGGGTGGCGGGTGTGTGTGAAGCGAGGGTGGGGGGCAGAGCTGGGGCAGGTAGTGGAATGCCTGGGAGGTGGGAAGCAGCCATCATTAGGGGGTGGTCTGGAGGTAATGAGGCCAAGGTGAGGTTGGGGTAAAGGATTTTCTTTAAAGAAGAGATATTGACTTATGATTGATCCATCCACGTGGGAAAGATCCTGTTGAGATGGAGCCTGAAAATGAAATCATTACCGGAGTGGGGTGTGGAGAAAGCGGGGAGGGCGGAAGCAGCGTGGGCAGGTGGGGGTTCTGTTTTCTCTAGAGGCAGTGGGTGAGCTTCAGTCACTGAAGGACAGATGGGAGGTATGTGGGGTCTGGAAGTCTGAGGAAAATATTTCAAGGATCTAGGGTAGGTGGGGGCAAGAGGGTTGACCAGATGCCCAAAAAAGGAGGGCAGCAGGCAGGGGAACCTGGGGAGGTTGCTGCATTTCCCTAACTCCAAGTCCCATTCCTCGGCAGTGTCTCCTGACTCCCCCCCTCCTGACCTGTGGATCCTGCTGCCTGCTGCAGGTCCCCTGGGAACCACAAACTCTTCCTCTATTCCCATTCCTCCTCCCTGGCATCTTCCCTGGCACTTCCCATACTCACACCTCCCACAACAAAACCATCACCAAGGCTCCTTCCTCTAGCCCCAAGAGTTTCTGATCTTAACAAGTCACCATTGCTCCTGTCCCTTCCCTAAGACACACTGAGTGCCTCACTCATAAAGCTGCTCCATTAGCATTTAGGAAGGAAGGCTGGGAGACATCCTGGAGGCAGCAGGAAGAAGCCAAATTCAATGCTCCCTGTAACACCCCCTCTCAGCAGGCTGCTGGCCCCAGGATACATAGAAACCCACTACGGCCCAGATGGGCGGCCAGTGGTACTGGCCCCCAACCACAAGGTGAGATGTTTCCATGGGCTCTGGGATGCAACCCCAGAGGTACCCCCCACCATTCCTACCCCTCCTCCTCCTTGCATTCTTAAGGGGAGGTTGGAGCCAGCCCCTGCCACACCCTCCCTCTTGCCCCTCTTGCTCCAGCCCTGGCTGAGATGTGGGGCTGGCCCCTTCCTCCCTAGGATCATTGCCACTACCAAGGGCGAGTAAGGGGCTTCCCCAACTCCTGGGTAGTCCTCTGCACCTGCTCTGGGATGAGGTGAGCTCTGGGAGAGGAGGCTGGGCCTGGGATGGGGAAAGAGCTCCCTCACACCCACTCCTACCCCTCTGCACCCTAGTGGCCTGATCACCCTCAGCAGCAATGCCAGCTATTATCTGCGTCCCTGGCCGCCCCGGGGCTCCAAGGACTTCTCAACCCACAAGATCTTCCGGATGGAGCAGCTGTTCACCTGGAAAGGAGCCTGTGGCCACAGAGATCCTGGGGACAAAGCGGGCATGGCCAGCCTTCCTGGGGCTCCCCAGAGCAGGGTCAGGGGCATCCAGGGGATGGGAGTGGGAATGCTGTATCTATAGCTCTCCAAATCAGAAGAGACAGGAATTCACAGGCCTTAAGTCCCAGTATTTTTACTGGAGTCTGAAGAAACAAGTTCCAGCAAACATGTTAAATTTCTTTCTGGGAGCTGGGGTTGGTGGTCAGGATTCAAGCCCAGCAGCTTCCACTCAGGGACCCCATTTGCCCCTCCGCAGGACAGGCGAGAAGCGCGCAGGACCCAGAGGTACCTGGAACTGTACATTGTGGCAGACCACACCCTGGTGAGGAGAGACCCCAGGGGTTGGCGGGGTCTGGGATGGGGCCATCTCAGCACCTCAAGCCACCAGGATTTCTGCCTTCCCAGTTCTTGACCCAGCAGCGAAACTTGAACCACACCAAACAGCGTCTCCTGGAAGTCGCCAACTACGTGGACCAGGTTGGGGGCGGGGGGAGAGTGGTGATGCGGGTGGCGGCGGCAGGACAGGCAGGTGCTAGTGGGGTGTGGGGAAGAGGAAGGGCGCCCCCATGAAGGAGCAGCGGCGCCGTGGGGCGCCCTGTCCTGGCTTCAGCCCCGCTTCGCCCTCAGCTTCTCAGGACTCTGGACATTCAGGTGGTGCTGACCGGTCTGGAAGTGTGGACCGAGCGGGACCGCAGCCGCGTCACGCAGGACGCCAACGCCACGCTCTGGGCCTTTCTGCAGTGGCGCCGGAGGCTGTGGGCGCAGCGGCCCCACGACTCCGCGCAGCTGCTCACGTGCGTGCCTCTGACCCGGACGCGGGTCCTGGGCGGGGCGGCCTCACCTCCCGGCCCCGCCCGGTCACTCCGCGCTCCGCCCCCAGGGGCCGCGCCTTCCAGGGCGCCACAGTGGGCCTGGCGCCCGTCGAGGGCATGTGCCGCGCCGAGAGCTCGGGAGGCGTGAGCACGGTGAGCCCCGCGGGCGGGGGCGAGGGGAGACACGGTAGGCTCTACGGCCGCAGTGACCGCCCTCCCACGGTCCCCCAGGACCATTCGGAGCTCCCCATTGGCGCCGCAGCCACCATGGCCCATGAGATTGGCCACAGCCTCGGCCTCAGCCACGACCCCGACGGCTGCTGCGTGGAGGCTGCGGCCGAGTCCGGAGGGTGCGTCATGGCTGCGGCCACCGGGTACGCGCATGGGGGGTCGGGGCCGCGGCGGGGCGGCTAGTCCTGGGGACTTCCTCCGCTGCATTTCTTTGGTCGTCCCTCAGTTTCCTCTTCTGTAGAATGGGGATAATGATCGTAGTGTCCGCTTCAGGGTGGTTTATGAGGCTTAAAGGGAAGAAGCTCAGGCAAACTGGATTCTCAACGGTATGAAGATAATTTTCCGAGTAACCTGGCGAGGTTACTCCTACACCAGGAGGCGCACCGCCGGGTCGCGATTCCACCTTGGGTCCCGGGCTGCCCACTCTTGGGGCCACACCGTCCTCCGTCCCGCTCGCTGTGTGACTTTGCGCGGGTCACTTCCCCTCTCTGGGCTCTGCCTCTAGAGGATTCGAGCCTCCCATCACTCAGGCGTGTCTGCGCATCTGGTGGCTGTAGCCAAGCCCAGGGATGGGGATCGGAGAAGCGCGGGGGTTGGAGGACTGTCTCTCCACTTTCAATGCCCTCCCCGTGCCAGTAGGCACCCGTTCCCGCGCGTGTTCAGCGCCTGCAGCCGCCGCCAGCTGCGTGCCTTCTTCCGCAAGGGGGGCGGCGCGTGCCTCTCCAATGCCCCGGCCTCCGGACTCCCCGTGCTGCCGGCGCGCTGCGGGAACGGCTTTGTGGAGGCGGGCGAGGAGTGTGACTGCGGCTCTGGCCAGGTTAAGTCGGCTCGCCCGACCCCCACTCGCCCTCTCGGCCCAGGTCTGGGGCGCTGCGCCCTCACCTGGTCCCTTCTTGCCTTTCTGGTCCCAGGAGTGCCGCGACCTCTGCTGCTTTGCTCACAACTGCTCGCTGCGCCCGGGGGCCCAGTGCGCCCACGGGGACTGCTGCGCGCACTGCCTGGTGAGGGCATGGAAGGGTCAGGGTGAGGGTTTCGGGCCGCTTGGGAGCCGGTTTGTTGGCCTTAGTTAATTGGTGCCCTCAGGTTCCCCGTTGGGAGCTGGTGCTGGCGTGGGTCGGCCTGGCTCCCCCAGCTCCGAGCCACGCTCTCGACGTGGACTTCTCACTGCCCACGGCCTCTCTCTGTCCTCCCCACTACCCTTCACCTGCGTAGCTGAAGCCGGCTGGAGCGCTGTGCCGCCAGGCCATGGGCGACTGTGACCTCCCTGAGTTCTGCACGGGCATCTCCTCCCACTGTCCCCCAGACGTTTATCTACTGGACGGCTCACCCTGTGCCAGGGGCAGTGGCTACTGCTGGAATGGCGCATGTCCCACGCTGGAGCAGCAGTGCCAGCAGCTCTGGGGGCCTGGTGAGAGGACAGGAGCACCCTTGCACCCTGCTCCCCATCCTCTGGTGGGGCCAGTTTTCTACTGTGGGGAAGATGGGCAGGGGAAACTGAGGCCCGCTGAGCGCGGCCCCTCTCCGAGCTGCCCCCAGCCTGGCCCATTCTTCCTCAGGCTCCCATCCAGCCCCCGAGGCCTGTTTCCAGGTGGTGAACTCTGCGGGAGATGCCCACGGGAACTGCGGCCAGGACAGCAAGGGCCACTTCCTGCCCTGTGCAGGGAGGTAGGGAGTGGAGCTGAGTGGAGGGAGCAGAAGCTATGGAGTGGGTTTGGGGAAGGTGGGTACTGCAGCTGTCGACTCCCCTCTGCTTCCTCCCCAGGGATGTCCTGTGTGGGAAGCTACAGTGCCAGGGCGGAAAGCCCAGCCTGCTCACACCGCACATGGTGCCAGTGGACTCCACTGTTCACCTAGATGGCCATGAAGTGACCTGTCGGGGAGTGTTGGCACTCCCTGGTGCCCAGCTGGACCTGCTTGGCCTGGGCATGGTAGAACCAGGCACCCAGTGTGGGCCTAGAATGGTGAGCTCTGCCCACCCGACCCTTCCTTGCCACTTGAATTGTGCAGGCCAGTGTCCCGCTCACTGCCTGGTGCACCGCCCGTAGGTGTGCCAGAGTAGGCGCTGCGAGAACACCGCCTTCCAGGAGCTGCATCGCTGCCTGACTGCCTGCCACAGCCATGGGGTGAGAGCCCGAGGAGTCGGGGTGACCTTGGGGTTCTAATCCCACGTGACCCTCCTTCCCTTCTCTTCTCTGCAGGTTTGCAATAGCAACCATAACTGCCACTGTGCTCCAGGCTGGGCTCCACCCTTCTGTGACAACCCAGGCTTTGGTGGCAGCACGGACAGTGGCCCTGTGCAGCCTGAAAGTACACCAGTGGGGGGCATGTGGGCAGGAGCTGGGGTGGTGCACCTGCTCAGGACTCAGTCCCCCTTCCCCCGATCCCCGCAGACCGTGACACCTTCTTGCTGGCCATGCTCCTCAGCGTCCTGCTGCCTCTGCTCCCAGGGGCTGGCCTGGCCTGGTGTTGCTACCGACTCCCAGGAGCCCATTGGCAGCGATGCAGCTGGGGCTGCAGGAGGGACCCTGCGTGCAGTGGGTAGGCTCCAAGTGCCTGCTTCCTCAGCCTACTCCTGCGGTTCACCTCCTCAAAGCTCTGCTGGGGCTGCAGGAGTTGGAGCAGGCCCTCAGCCTTGCCCCCAGGTGCAGAGAGCAGCCCCAGAGGCTGTGGAAAGAAGTAGCTGTGAACAGGAGGTTCCAGTGGCCTCCCAGTCAAGCAAGGGGGTGGATCCCTGCCCCACCACCAGCACCGCAAGGCATGGCCCTCTACCTCCCAGTACAGCTCCTCTTGTTCACGCTCCTGCTTCTCCCACCAGCTGAATGCCTCACCCTCGACTTCGCCCTGTTTTCCCCTGGCTCAGATTGCAGTCCCTGTACCATGCTGCCCCTGGAGGCCTGTCTAGCCTCTGTCTCACGAGTTTTCAGCCCTTTGCCACTTCCTCTGCCTAAATCGCCTCTGTCACCCCCTTGAAGTTCCCAAATGCTGGGCCCAGCACATCTTTTCACTCCATACCACTGGTCAGCTGCGGCACTGGCTGCCCCTGTGCCAGGGCCCTGCCCTAGAACAGTTCTCTGGGACCTGGAACCTGGGTGGTGGTGGAGAGGGGAGTCACATAATACTAAGCATGGCTGTCCTAGGACTCACCCTGCACCAGGGCCCTAGGCAGGGCAGGCACTCTGTGGTGGCCATGTCTGACATAGCCTCATCTTTGGAGTGCTCCAGGCAAACCAAGGGAGATGGCAGGATTTGGGCCAGAGATGGGGGCAGAGGGCATAACAGGGGCAGGGCACCACCTGGGCCCCAGGTAGCAGCTAAGAGGACCCTGACACAGTGAGTCGTGATTGAGGGTCTGTGGGCAGAGGAGCAAGGTGGCCAGAGCCTGGTGTGTCAGCATGGAGGGGGCGCTGCAGAGGGCGGCGGCTGCTTCTCATCCCCAGGCAGAGAGTGTTTTGAAGGAACATCACAGGAAATGACAAGGCCCTGGGAGATGGGATGGGGACAGGCAAAGATGGCTTGGAATCATCAAGGGCAGCAGGGTACCCAGGGGCAAGGACAGCAGACATAGCTGCCGAAGGGGCGGACGTCCAGGGTTCTTTGGAAGCTGAACGATGCCAACATCCAGAGAGTGCCAGGCTGCTGGGTGGTGCCAGAGCCTGGAGGAAATGTTAGGACTAGAGAGAGGAGGTGCCAGCCGAGGGCATGAGGCTCAAGTGGAGCCTGGATCCCAAGGCTTCCCTGAAGAGGGAGCAGGAAGGGAGCTGAGCGGGTGACTTGGAGCAGACAGGTGCCCCCAAGAAACTCAGTAAACGCAGAACTGGACACCATGCTGTGGGGAGGCAATAACCCACTCAGGGTCACTGTGCCAACCTCCTGGACTCTTATCACATTGCTCAGGCCCAAAGATGGCCCACACAGGGACCACCCCCTGGGCGGCGTTCACCCCATGGAGTTGGGCCCCACAGCCACTGGACAGCCCTGGGCCCTGGGTGAGTGAGGCACCAGGGGGAGGAGGAGAGGGAAGGGAGGGGCTCATGCCTCCTGCCTCCTTCCAGATGGGCAGCACCCAGTCACCTTGAGTCCCCTGTGGCCCCTCCCCCAGCCCCAGGGTCTCCTGCTGACCATATTCACAGCATTCACCCTCCACCATTGCTCCCAGGCCCCGAGAACTCTCATGAGCCCAGCAGCCACCCTGAGAAGCCTGTGGCCCGCAGTCCCGCCTGACCCCCAAGGTAGGCAGGGACCCGGATTCAAAGCCTCCCCCTCTCATCACCCACCCTCCCACCTCTCCCACCCCTCAGCTCGCTGCTCCCTAATCAGGTTTCTGGGCTCAGGTTATTATGGAAATGAGTTTATGACCTCTTGGAGAAGCTGTTATCATGGAGACCAGGATGGTGGAAGCCCCTGAGCTGGGGAGGGAGAAGCTGTGGCTTTTCCTGGATCGTTGGTCCTCACTGAGTGAGGATGGGCTCCCTGTCACACAGCTTGCAGCCTGGGGCCCCGGTCCTTAGGGGACACCATATTCTCCTCGTTCTCAGCAGATCAAGTCCAGATGCCAAGATCCTGCCTCTGGTGAGAGGTAGCTCCTGAAATGAACAGATTTAAAGACAGGTGGCCACTGACAGCCACTCCAGGAACTTGAACTCCAGGGGCAGAGCTAGTGAATCACTGGACCTCCAGCACCTTCAGGCAGCTTGGAAGTTTCTTCCCCGAGTGGAGCTTCAACCCACCCACTCCAGGAACCCAGAGCCACATTAGAAGCTCCTGAGGGCAAGGGGACACTGCTGGGCACACTCTCCAGCTCAATAATCCATCAGTCCCAGAAGCAAAGGTCACACAGCCCCTGACCTCCCTCACCGGTGGAGGCTGGGTAGTGCTGGCCACCTGAAAAGGGCTCTGTCCTGGGAGCCTGGTGCGTCTCCTACATGCAATTTCCACAGACCCAGCTCTGTGGAGGGCATGACTGCTGGCCAGAAGCTAGAGGTCCTGGGGCCCTATCGTTTGACTGAGTTCCCACTGCCCTGGAGCCTGGCCCCTGCAAACAAGCATAATTTTGGAGAACCTTCCTTCCTGTTTCTTCCCACCTTGTCTTGTCCCCTAGGTGGTTCCTCAGCCTCCACCCACAATCCCAGTGCTGCACCTGAAGTTCTGGAGCTCAGAGTCTGACAGCCTCTTCCCCATTCTGTGTATGGGAGAGGACAGAGGGAACCATTTAAGAAAAGATACCAAAGTAGAAGTCAGAAGAAAGACACGTTGGCTAAGCGTGGTGGCTCATGCCTATAATCCCAGAACTTTGGGAGGCCGGGGTAGGAGGATCACTAGAGACCAGGAGGTCCACACCAGCTGAGACAACATAGCAAGACTCTGTATCTACAAAAAAAATTTAACATTAACTGGGCATGGTGGTGTGTACCTGTAGGCCTCGCTGCTCAGGAGGCTGAAGCAGGAGGATCACTTGAGCCTGAGTTCAACACTGCAGTGAGCTATGATGACACCACTGCACTCCAGCCTGGGTGACAGAGCAAGACCCTGTCTCTAAAATAAATTTTAAAAAGATATATTGCACTTGGACCTTGGTTAGTCTTTTCTATATGTAAATTCAACCCTACGGGGTGCCCTGAGGACCCCACAGGGTGGTGGTTAGCAGGGTGGTGGCTGGCAGGCCAGGCCTAGATGGCAGCCAGGGCCTCAGGCATGTGTCTGGGCACAGGACGGTGTTGCCTAGTTTGAACACCCTCTTTGTCACTCCTGCCTCCCTTGGGTGTTCACATTCTCCCATTGCTTCATGCAAGAGCTGCTGAGTGGCCTATATCAGCCAGCTTTTGCCGCATTAACAAAACCATCCCAAAACTGAGTGTGGGGAGGCAACCTCAGCTCGGGCTCCACTCCACAAGTCCAAGGGGCCAGGTGAGAGTGCTCTCTAAAGCCCCCTCCTGCCTCAGTTGTAGTTGCGAAATTTTAATTTATGAAGGTGACAGAATGATGACACAGAGGCCAATGCTGTTGAAAGAAGTTATTACTCAGTTTCCCACCCTGCAGGGCCACAGTGGGGACGCACTAGGTTTGGTCCAGGGACAGAATCAGGAGCCAGTGGAAGGCACAGGCCACAGCCCTCAGTGCTGTTTCCACTGGGGAGCCAAGGGGCCGGGGGAAGAGGGTAGGATTGGCATTTTGAATCATTCTGGTAGGCTTTGGGGCTGGGGTTGGGCCTAGTTGTCTGGGTCGGTACCTGGCGCTGAGCTGGTTTAAGACAGGGGAAATACTGGCCTAGTACATGAGAGTTCCTTGAAGGGGGTGGTTGGTGTATGGACTCAAGATTGGTCGGTTTGCATATGAAAGGCATGAGTTGTTTCTGATCCCCAAGAATCAAGCAGTTTCTGTCCAGCCAACAAGTCTCCACCCCAAGATGTTAAACCATCATGAAATAGAGAATCTAAGGCCAGGCATGGTGGCTCACGCCTGTAATCCCAGCACTTTGGGAGGCCAAGGCGGGTGGATCATTTGAGGTCAGGGGTTCGAGACCAGCCTGGCCAATGTGGTGAAACCCCATCTCTACTAAAAATACAAAACTTAGCCTGTTGTGGTGGCACGTGCCTATAATCCCAGCTACTTGGGAGGCTGAGGTAGGAGAATCGCTTGAACATGGGAGGTGAAGGTTGCAGTGAGCTGAGATCGCGCCACTGCACTCCAGCCTGGGCGACAAAAACAAGACTCCGTCTCAAAAAAAAAAAAAAGAATCTAAAAAAACATGTTAATATACCTCCCCCGCTCTTACCCTTCAGGAGGGGATGTCTGGACCCCACGGCACTCCAGTTACAAGGGACCCTAGGGGAGGCCAACACTGCCCTCTTGGCTATTCCCTAAGCACCTCCTCCACCCCTTCCCCATTCAGAGGCGAACCTTGGGGAGGCCAAGTGGGAAGGAAAGAGGGCTGTGGGAGGGGAGGTCCCAGTCTGGGGCAGAGGCCTGTCTGGATCCCGAGATCACCTGGCTGTGCTGGAGAACTGGAAAACAGAAGCTCAGCGGAAGCGAGCTGGCATGGGGCCAACAGCAGAAAAGCAGGAGGGACGCAGAAGTGACTGGGAAGCAGGAGGGCAGGTATGGACCCTGAGGCTGAGCAGGGGGTGCTGAGGGGCAGAGTGGATATCGAGCTGGGGGCAGTGAGCGAGCCCAGCTCAGCTGTGACGCCCTCTCTTGGTCACCCAACTACCAGCTGCTTGGGCTGCCCCGGGAGGGACTGGGCTTCCTCTGACACTCTGTGCAGCCATCTGTCACGCCTTCTTCTCTCCCGCCCCCTCCCTTGACTTTTGGCACCCACAGACAGGTGGGAGAGTGCACCTGCCCTGTGTGGTCAGAGCTTGGTCTTGAGTTTCCTTCCCTCATCCCTCTTTCCTGCCACACGCCAGAACACAAGAGGATGTGTCAGAGGCCTGTGAACTAGAGCAACTCCATCTTGAATAGAGGCTGAGTAAAATAAGGCTGAGACCTACTGGGCTGCGTTTCCAGACAGTTACAGCATTCTACATCACAGGATGAGACAGGAGGTCAGCACAAGATACAGGTCATAAAGACCTTGCTGATAAAACAGTTTGCAATAGGCCGGGCGCAATGGCTCATGCCTGTAATCCCAACATTTAGGGAGGCTGAGGTGGGTGGATCACTTGAGGTCAGGTGTTTGAGACCAGCCTGGCCAACAAGGTGAAACCTTATCTCTACTAAAAGTACAAAAACTAGCCGGGCATGGTGATGTGCGCTTGTAGTCCCAGCTACTTGGGAGGCTGAGGCAGGAGAATCGCTTGAACCCAGGAGGCGGAGGTTGCAGTGAGTTGAGATCATGTCACTGCATTCCAGCCTGGAACGAGACTCTGTCTCAAAAAACAAAACAAAGAAACAAAAAAACCAGGTTGCAGTAAAGAAGCTGGCTAAAACCCACCCAAACCAAGATGGCGAGGAGAGTGACCTCTGGTCGTCCCCACTGCTACAACTCCCACCAGCGCCATGACAGGTTACAGATGCCATGGCAGTATCAGGAAGTTACCCTATATGGTCTAAAAAGGGGAGACATGAACAATCCACCCCTGTTTAGCATATAATCAAGAAATAATCATAAAAATGGGCAACCAGCAGCCCTCAGGGCTGCTCTGTCTACGGAGCCATTCTTCTATTCTTTTACTTTCCTAATAAACTTGCTTTCACTTTACGGACTGATTTCGAACTCTTTCTTGCAGGAGATCCAAGCACTGTCTCCGGGAGTCTGAATCTGGACCCCTTTCTGGTAACAGGTGTTGTAGAGTGAAGCACAACCACTGCAGGGGCATCTTGGTTTACATTTTGCTTCAGTGGCCGTGGTTAGCACAGTAGAAAGCACATCACAGTCCTCCGATTCATAAAAAAAATTAGGAAGTGAACCACCACAAACCACAGACAGATGTACTGAGACAGGATAGGTAGTCAAGAAAGTGACCACATTCTACGTGCGCAGCAGCAACTGTGGTGACCGTACAATCAGCATTGGCACTGCAATTGAGCTCATTCAAGCAAAGCTATCTTCAGCAGGGACTCCCCCTCTAGAGAGCAAGCGCATTTTTATTTTACTTGTCCTCAAACTGATCCTTTGCTCATTATAATAGTAAGAAACACACCCCTGTGTGGAGATTTAAGATGCTAATGAGGCCGAGCACAGTTGCTCATGTCTGTAATTTCAGCACTTTGGGAGGCTGAGGTGGGCGGATCACTTGAGGTTAGAAATTTGAGACCAGCCTGGCCAACATGGTGAAACCTCGTCTCTACAGGTGGCAGGCACCTGTAACCCCAGCTACTCAGGAGGCTGAGGCAGAAGAATTGCTTGAACCCAGGAGGTGGAGGTTGCAGTGAGCCAAGATTGTGCCACTGCACTCCAGCCTGAGTGACAGAGCAAGACATTTCCAAAAAAAAAAAAAGTCAAGACAAATCATGGGAGGGCTTTTTTGGTCACTTTAAAAATCTCAGTATTGAGACTTTATTTGAGACAGGGCCTTACTCTGTTGCTCAGGTTGGATGAGATTTTTAACCTCAATATTTACTTATAGAATAACTTTTTGGTTAGTCAAAACAACGCTGTGTCTCATTCTGATCAGAAAAAAACATCAGACAACTCAAGAGAAACATTCTACAAAATAACTGGCCAGGATTCTTCAAAAGCGTCAAGGGTAAAGATGAGGAAAGACGAAGGAACTCCCAGACTGAGGAGACTAAGGAGACAACTGTGACATGGGATCCTAGAATGGATCTTGGAACAGAAAAAGGACATTAGTGGAAAAATGGGAAATGCAAACTGGTCTACAGTTTTGTTAATAGGACTGTACAAAGGTTAGTTTCCTAGCTGTAATGATCGGACTATGATTAAGTAAGATGTACCATTAGGGGAAGCTGGGTGAAGGGTGTAAGGAAAATGCTTACATTTTCCAACTTCTCTGCAAGTCTAAAATTAGTCAACAATAAGAAGTTTAAAATAGGCCAGGCATGGTGGCTCACACCGGTCACCCTAGCACTTTGAGAGGCCGAGGTGGGAGGATCGTTTGAGCCCAGGAGTTCAAGACCAGCCTGGGCAATAGGGTGAGACCCCAACTCTATTCAAAAAAAAAAATTTAAGTTTAAAATAAAATTATATTAAAAAAGAAAAGAAAAATGCTGTTTCATAGTGTTCCTAATTTAGCATGGGAGGGACCAGGTCTCCCTGGGTGGTTGTCTGTGTGTTGCTGGGTGTGTGTGGTGGGGCTAGTGTGTTGGGGTCCATCTAGGCACATTCAGGTGTGGAATCCCGTGGCTCCCAGGTTTACCTGAAGGTGCAGCCTGGGGTGGAGACTTAATGAGGGCGGGGAGTTGTCGCAGCAAAGGCTCCTCCCAGGGGTATCAGCACAGACAGCTGGGTTTTCACTGTGCTCCTGCTCCAGAGGCGCTAGGAAGGTGGCGCCTATCAGACTAGGGCTCTGCCAGCCATCCTTCTCTGTTCAAGGTCCAGCATGGTCTGCTGCCTGGGGCTTGTGTTGCTGCTGCTGTTACTGGGTGAGCGCCCCTGTCTTCCTCTGGACTCCGAACCCTGGCTTCTCTGTCCCTGCTCCTCAGTGACAAGGTGGGAGGGCAAGAGATTCCAGAAAAAGCTGAGCCACAAGAAGGGTTGCCAGCGAGAGGCCTGTGCTCAGGGCTTGGGGACACCTGGCAATAGACCCCACTATGTGCTGAGCACCTCGCCTCCCAGCCCAGTCAAGCCACCACCGCCACCCCCGTCCCAAGTCCAGCCTTGGCACCCCTGCCCCAGGAACTTTTGCCTATTGTCTGCCGTCTCCCAACTCTCTCACCCTCCCCTCAGCCTCAGCCCTCCTACTCATTGCACAGATTCCTTGCTGTGAATCTTCGGTGTTGTTCATCTGTTGTTCCACCTTCTTGGACTGCTCCTTCTCTGGGTGGATGTCGCGGAGGGAGGGGTCACTTTACTGAGTGTAGTGTGAAAAGTGGAATCTGGTAAAGGTTTAAGGCGGAGATTTTGCAGCTGAGATGAGCTGCTGTGAGGGTGGAGACGGG